AATAATTTCTCACGACGATTTTTCCACTTTTGTTTGGAGAAAATCATTTCTTAAAAATTGTGACTTAAGAGATGCTTTATTTCGTTTGTATTGACTAGTATGATTTCAAGACGACATATATATTTTGGAATATTGACTTGTGTTAAAAAAAAAGATGATGTTATTGGTTATGGCTTTAAACAACGTTATTAATTATGAGATCATTTCAAACACAATTCCTTCCTAATCGAAATAATTTTTCAGAATTATTCAACGAGGAAGATAACATTTCAAATAACTCGTGATATTTTTTTTAATTTAAAGATTAAATACTTAAATACTTAAGATTTTCAGTATTTATTTTGCATTGCATTGAATAAAAATATTCACAACTATCTCTACATTTGCACCCTCTCTTTCCACAAACACACAAACAACACACACACACACACACACACACACACACACACACACACATATATATATATATATATATATATATATATATATATATATATATATTATTTCATCCACAATGCTAGAGAGAAAAGCATACAGAATATACGACCACCACTATGATAAGAAGATTATTTATAACAATAAACTACATAAAAACGGATACATAATACTACCAAAAAACAACATAAAAACGACTATAAAAAAAAGAATAATATTTGGGATAGAGATTTCTATTTTGAATATTGTTGAAGGAGCTCTTGTGTTGCCTCCATCTAATTTTAGAATTATTATCCCAATATTTCTGGCATCTAAAAGAAACGAATAAAACACCAAAAGTAAAATGGAAAATAGTAAACAAAACAAGAACTTGTAAAACCTGGGATGACCCATGCCATTTATACCTACACGAAAAATTAAATTTCTAAATAATGAAAAATTATTAAACCAGAGGCAGGAGTTAACGGTTTTTTGCCGACATCAACAAACTTTCGCATTAAATAATTAGCATAAAAAAATCCCATAAGCTTAATAATCTTAAAAGCTTAGCCAAATCATTAAATAGGAAAAACCCTTTCTGTAGTCGTCAAAAAACAAAACAACAACAACAAAAAAAAAACAAATTGAAATTCAGTGCAATACGGTTTGTATATAAAACACCCACTTGAATAAACAAATAAATAAATAGATAATCAGATGGACAATAATAAAACAATCCTCCCGACACATAACGACTTGTAGGCGCGCCATAAAAATATCCCTCACTGGGAGCCAACTAAAGGATGACCGCCAACATTAGCCTTGAAATAGATACCCTACCGAACCTTAGCAAAACCTCTCAGAAGATGATGAATCTATATATAAGAATTAACTCTCTGACCACTTAACGAAGATAACTAGTCTAGCCACTCCCACAATAACGAATATTATAACGGACCATGCCTAAAAGCACACGTAAACCAAAAGAGAGCTTATTCCTAAAATTTCGCTGAAGATGAAACGAGACTAAACACCTCAGTTCAACTTAATTTTAATAATTATTTGGATGGATTCGGCTCTCGTTTTTGAAACATGAGAACTCTTATGTAGTGAAGGAATAATATTTTACACAAAAAAATATTATAATAAAGCTCTACTTCTGTATGGAGCACTGTCTTCTTAAAAATAAAAACAAAATACAAAGGAACTCCGGATTATGCACCCAACGTGTTCTTTTCTATTTTCTGCATACCTGCGCACTAAATTTAGGCTATATTCCCAACGTAGAGCAAATGAAAATATCTTGGTGGGGTATGCGTAGGATGTGCATCCTTCGGCTTACTATACCAACGTGAGCTCAAATTTCATTTTGCATTAGTTATTCATGATTAAAACGATCAAAGTATATTACAGAATAAGCTTTCATTCAAATATTTTATATTTCTGCCTTTCAATTCTCTATTATATGTTTTGAAACTATATATATATTTAACTTTTTTTAAAAAAAATTCTCTATCCATGGACTTTGGAGGCTTGTTTAGAGACCAAGTTAATGGCCTTTTAAGCTTCCTTCACGTGAATTGCAGTAAAATTTTGAATATGTAAACATTAAATATTTCAGGGGAGCACCAACATTTTATAAATACCAAAGTCGGGTATGGCACAAAAATCGGCTGGGAACAACTGATTTAGGAAAAAAAAGCTAAAATTTTATAATAATCCATTCTAGTTCACTAATTAGAGAACTAGAAAGGATTAAATATAAAATTAAATAATATATGTCTATATTATTCAATATATATATAGATAGCGATAGCGTGCATACGCAGATAAGCAAATAAATATTTATTTAATTTAATTTATGGTGCAAGCAAAACAGTGCTCAATGTAGTTAAACAGAGTTATGGCGTATATATTAATAAATACAAATATATCTACGATTTTAGTGCAACTTAAATTTTCATGGTTTCCCAAGTCGTCAGGCACACATGGCGATTGGGCTACTTATTACAGTTGTGTTTTGTTTTTTTTAATACTGGGTCTCATGGGAGAAACGTTGAATTAAACTCAGATTCAAAGCTCAAAGTTAATATAAATATATTAATAATATAAGTTATAAGATATTATTGGGGGTGTAAATTCAAGATATACAGTGTATGGAGGAAGATATTTGAAAAAATGATGCAAGCTTAAAGTTTATATGGTACATGGTTTTTCGTTGGGGGAAAAAGGGATGATGTACAATTAAAGTTTATATGGTTCTTGTTTTTCTATTGGGGAACATAAAAATTGGCAAGATTTTAATCAAGAAATTATAAAGCGTAAGGAACAAGCAATATGAATAAAAAGGAAGGGGTAGGCGCAATACATTATATATTGTTTATGAATAACATCTATGTTCAAATGCTGTAACACTGCACAGTATTTAAAGTCAATGTTTAATAATATTTGGATATAAATTTTAAAAAAATAAAAAGTGTAGATAGATAGACAAGATAAAAGGTGAGAAAAATTAAAAAAAATTAACGTGAACTCCGTGTAACCCATTACGTATTAATAGATGCTTAAATGGTTAAAATGGCGTAAGTAAAAAAACATTTAATGGGCAATTGAAGTAAGGTAAAAAAGATTTATCCAGAATCAAAATACTTTAAGAGAAAGCTTTTTTTATGGGTACAAACTATCATGAGCTCACGACATTTGTGCAGTAGGTTGGGATCGTTAATATTTTTGAGTATGAATCTTTTTTCAGCAAACACAGGTTACATCGGTCGCCGCGGCCAGAAATTCCAAATCCAATTTACTACCGCTGTGTAATTATTTATTTTGATTTTCTAGGAAAATTTTGAGATTACAGTGTCATTTAAATATTGTTTATTGGTAAGAGTCATTTTATGATGATAATACCTCGTCTTCCACTGGTTTGCAACGGAGCCAAAATAAAACTTAGTCTCGCCATTATGTTTAATGCTAGCCTTATAAATAACGCCTTTGTTCATAGATTTATGATTTAGTGGACAGGCATTATTTTCGACAATTAGAGTTCTTGTTTGTATTAATATTAAGGCTGTTTAAATATTTGTTTAATGTTATTTTATTATGTTTTGATATATACTGTTCGAGGTTTTTGGTGCTGCTGTTGCTAATCTTAATGTTGTATATATATATATATAATATATATATATCAGTATGTTGATATCTATCTATCTAAATATTTGCATATATCGCCGTTCATATCTTTTACTTTATCCACATCTATCTATCTATCTAGCTAGCTAGCTATCTAGCTAGCTATCTATCTAAGCTCATATCCGACTAAGCTTGTTCATATCTATTTATCTATCTATCTATGCTATTATGTTCCTGATTTCATATCTCTCTAAGCATCTATGCTAGTTTACTCATATCTATCTATCTATCTATCTATCTATCTATCTATCTATCTATCTATCTATCTATCTAAATCTGTGTATATCTCTCTGTCAACCTCAATTATTCGAATATTCCACAATTTTCAGCTCTCTATTGATAAACGAAGATTTTCCACAAATTGCATTCTTCATTGTCCATCAATAGTTTGAGAGAGGGGAGAGCGAGAGAGAGAGAGAGCGAGAGAGAGAGCGAGAGAGAGAGAGAGCGAGAGAGAGAGAGAGAGAGAGAGAGAGAGAGAGAGAGAGAGAGAGAGAAGGTGGATAAGGAAAATTAGGTAAAGAGTGTGAGAGAGAAGAGCATAGCGATGGAGTAATGGTTAGCATGTTAGACTGGTTCATCATTACTCTTGTGTAGTGGGTTCGATCCCTACGTGATAACACTTACAGGTTGCCTTGTGTTAAAATAATCCATGTTTAGCATATAACTATTTCAGACTCAGAAAGAAAGAAAATTATAGGGAGAAAGAAAAAGAAGGAAAAATAAGGCAAGTAAAGGGAAGAGAAAAACGAAGAGGGGGGGCAAGAAAAAGAAAGGAGAAAATAAAGAAAGTGAAGCAAAGACAAAAACTGAAAGGGATATAATGAGAAAAGTAATTTGTGCAAGAGAATCAGAGAGTGAAATATGAGGAATTATATAAAGAGAGGGGAGAGCAGTGAGAGAGAGATAGAAAGTGAAAGGGGAAAATGAAGAAGGAGAATGAATGTGTGAGAGAGAGAGAGAGAGAAAGGAATAAAGAGAAATAGAAAGAGAGAGTGAAAGAGAAAGAGAGAAATAGATGAATAGAAAGAGAAAAGTATAAGGAAACAGAAAGAGAGACAGGGGAGAAATTAAGAATGACAATGAATGTCATAGAGTGGTCGACGGATATAAAGATAATAATAGTGAGAGAGGGAGGGAGATTGAGAGAAGTGAAGATAATTATGAAGTGATAGTTTTAGAGAGAGAAAGAGAGGAATAAATACAGGTAGAGAAAGATAAAAGTATGAGGAAAAAGAAAGAGAAGCAGTTTGAAAAAGGGAGAGATAAAAAATGAGAATGAATGTTAGAGAGTGGTCGACTGCTATAAAGATAATTATCTATCTATCTATCTATCTATGTATCTATCCATCTCAGTCTGCGCATATTTCTGTCAACCTCAATTATGTGCATATGGT